GGGAGGCTGCAGCAGGAAGATCTCTTGAGCCCAGGAGTTCAAGGCTGCAGTGAGCTATGATTATACCACTGCACTCCAACCAGAGTGACAGCCTGTCTAAAAACAAACAAACGAAAAATGGAAAAGAAAAAGAAGTATGTAGTATGATTCTACCTATAGAACATTCAAAATCCAGCAAAATTAAACCATATTTGTTAAGAGTTGTGTTCATATGGGTAAATACGAAGAGAGAAGCCTGGTTAATCCATGAAGAGAAGCCTGTTCATTATTCTCTTTATTACTATTAAAGAGAAGTCAGAGTAACTGATACCTCCTTTGGCGGGAGGAGGCGGAAAGGGATGGCATTCTGGGAGGGGTGTGGGAAGAAGGGCTGCTGGGGAGCTGGCATCCCACGTTTCTTGCTTTAAGTGGGAGTTCCGTCTGTGTTCACTTTACAGGTATTCTTTAAACTGCACATGTGTTTTATATAGTCTTCTGGATTTATGATCTATCTCATAATTTTAAAAAATTAAAGGCATCTGAAATCAATAGGAAGCCACCCCACATTAGAACAACAGCCTCAGAGATCCATCTCCTTAATTTTATAGCTGTGGAGAATGAAGCCCAGAGAGGTTAGGAGGCTTACTCAAAGTCACAGAGCATGTTCTCAGTGGAACTGGGACTAGCATGAAACAAGTCCTAACTCAAGTTTTTCTCCCTCCTCTGTCTCTGGACTCTTCTTCAGGGAAAGGGCAGGGAGGAGCACAGCTTTTGAGCCTGAGAGTTCCCTTGTTTTGTGAAAAATAAAAAGGGCCAGTTACTGAGCCAATAAAATAATAAAGAGCTGGCATAAACATTGAGGGTTGTAAACACATTTCAAATGGAATTTTAAAAGATTTAAATATGCGTTCCTCAAATCATAATAATGATTACGTTAATCATAATAATGACAGCATCACAAAAAATAAATACTAGGAATCTCTGGCAAGCCTGTGATCTAGAATTAGACTCCATCTGACTTGTAGATGGTATCAGGATGGAGCTGGCTTGGAGTGGGGCGGGGATGGGAAGGGAAAGACAGGGAGCCAGAGAGTCTGCAACTTTATTGACTTATCCACCTGGCCTAGGTGAGACCCCTAGCCCTGGGACAGTCAGGAAAGGAACCTCTGCTATCTCTCTGAGAGCTTTTTTGTTTTGTTTAGAGGTCAATTACTTCCCATTTGGGGAACTTGTGAACATTAAGAGGTGACTGGAGTGAGCGATGGAGATAAGAGGCTGATTGCTTACAGAGCGGCTCCCTGGTAAAAGCTCTGCAGAGGATAAGCAGTTGTCGGTAAGAGACACACAAAAAAGGGCAGCTTTCAGTGCAGAGGAGAGATTACGGAGACGGAAGACAGGCAGCTGGGGATGGGCTTGATGAGTTGGGAGAGCCATGCGTTTTAAAGTGATCTTGACAGGCAGAGAGTGGGGAGATGGGGGAAGAGAGCTTTCCTTCACTCTCCTTTAGGAATGAAATCTTTGCTGTCCTGTGAATCTCAGACTTCCTTGCTGTGGTCTGAAGGAAAAGCCACGTGGATTGCACATGGACAAGGTTTTTGTTATAGGGTTTTTTTTTTTTTTTTTTTTTTTTTTTTGCCAGCCAAATATAGATGCCACAACAATCTGGGGATCATAACAAAAAATGTGACAGGAAAATGGAACATCTAAAGGATCTTGGGTGTACATGTAACTGACACCCCTTCCCGCCTCCCAAACCCCTTCAGCCAACTGAATACAGTTGTTCTAGAGCCAGCTTGAATTGTATCTCAAACTACTATAAAATATGGCTCTGGCTTTGGCACATACCCATTTCTTTTCTCCATTCCAAAGTCCTAGAGCTGTCTTGGAGCCTCTCTCAGTAAACAGTGTCATTCCCATGGTAATCACCAGTATTAACCCCCATCCTCTGTGTAGCCTTCTCTAAGCACCCCAGCTTGGGCTGGATTTTCTTTCTCTCTCGAGTGAGCTTAATGTCTGTCCTATTTGACATGTAGCATATTCCACGCTGTATTTTTAGATACCTTCCTCGAGTTGGTCTTTGCTTTCCCAATTAGAAAATACATTCCTTGAGAGTGGCCGCCAAATTTTATTTTTTTTTTCTTCTGTCCCTACCAGGAATGTTCAGCAATGACTGAGTTACTGATGATTAAACTGAGCCTCTTTCTTTCCCCCTTCACTCTGAGCCTTGACCCAACCACCCCTGATATTCCTGTACCTCTCCCTGTGGTCACAGAGGTGTAGAGAAGGCATGGGAATCTTTCACTCAGCCTAACTCCAGAGACAAGGTTATTGAAACATCACATATATAGTAACTGCTTCTTCTGTTACTATTCTATGTTAGAAGAGGGTGAGAGGGTAAAGGAAATAACATTGATTAATTTCCTACTCTGTGCCAAGTATTTCTCAATCCAAACTACAGTGACCTATATTTTTGGGGTAGATATCTAACCTAGAGGATTTTTTAAAAATTAACGTATAGCATTTTAGAATCTGATAATAGAAACGTTTAATAAAACCCACTTAACCCTTGAGGGCTGAACAGATTATATCTCAGTGGCAGCGTTGGACTGAGACTCACCTGTCATGGATCTAAGGCCAGTGTCTAAGGGTGAGACTGCTGCTCCTGTAAGGCATGACCTCCTAAGTGAAAGAAGAGCGTAGCACTCTATGACAATACTCTTAAGATGGAGATTTTCAGTATAATCTCCACTTTGTTTTCCTCAGCTTTGTTGACCAAATTGACTCACTGATATTCCTAAATTTAAAATATGAATTTTAATCCTGGGGCACAACAGTATAATTGAAAGATACTGTCGGGGGCTGGGCGCGGTGGCTCACGCCTGTAATCCCAGCACTTTGGGAGTCTGAGGCAGGCAGATCACAAAGTCAGGAGTTCGAGACCAGCCTGGCCAGCATGGTGAAACCCCATCTCTACTAAAACTACAAAAATTAGCCGAGCATGGTGGTAGAAGCCTGTAATCCTAGCTAGTCAGGAGGCTGAGGCAGGAGAATTGCTTAAACCTGGGAGGCAGAGGTTGCAGTGAGCTGAAATTGCACCACTGCACTCCACCTGGCTAACAGAACAAGTCTCCATCGAGGGGCGGGGGTGGAGGGGAAGGGGAAGAAAGATACTGTGAAATGTTTCTGAACACACTTTTATTAGCAGTGAACATGGAGAAATAAGGGTTGGGCTCTGTGACTCACATCTGTAATCCCAAGACTTTGAGAAGCTGAGGCGGGAGATCACTTGAACCAGCCTGGGCATCATAGGGAGACCCTCTCTCTACACAAAATAAAAAAAAAAAATTAGCTGGGTGTGATGGCATGCACCTATAGTCCCAGCTGCTTGGAAGGCTGAGGTGGGAAGATGGTTCAAGCCTGGGAGATGCAGGCTACAGGAGCTATGATAATAGCATGCCACTACACCCCAGCCTGGGCAACAGAGCAAGACCATAGCTCAATTAAAAAAGAAAGAAAGAAAAGAGATAAGTGGTAAAAACCCAAAGGAGAGAAAACGTAAGAAAATGATAGTGAAAAAATTAATGACTACTTTTTTTTAAGCTTAAACAAATATACACTTTAAGGGATGAACGCTATCAACAGTCAGGTATAGTTTACCTACCCTCAAGCAGTCTGCTTCTCACTTTAGTAAAACAACCAGGCCATATCAGAAATGAGAAAATTCAGGGGTAGGACATTGGAATTAAATATGGGAATTTATCAAATAAGAGAATTTAAACTTCAATAAGTCAGTAGCCCTGCGGGATGAATAATTAGAGTTTTCATTATCTAAAAATGCAATCCAAGGGGGAATAAAGGCCAGATTTTCCTACTAAATTTTCTATAAAATCTGTCTCTCACCAAACACATGTTTTCTATTTGATCCCATGTCCGTATGAATAAAATGAGTTTATTTTCATTCTTGAATTTGCATGACCTCAGATATATGGGGGTGAAGATGTCAAAATTTCACAATTTTAGAAAGCCTAAAGGTCAGGCTTTCTATTCATCTTTTTATGACTTTGGGGGGCACTTGGAGGCCTCTTTACCTGGCACAGAACTTAGAAACTGCTGATGCTCCGAAGAAAACCTACAAAGAGGGAGAGAGGAGTGTGAGGGAACAAATTAGGAAACCTGCTTCCAGGACTGAATCGGTTTTGTTTACCCAGCACTTCTGGGCTTCATTTTCACTTTAATTCGAAATTGTTTCAAGGTAATGGCAAATATCCGTTCTAGCGGCCTACACACACGCAACCACACACACACACTTAGGTCGTGTATTTATTGGAGATGCTGTGCTGTACAAAGAGATAAAATGCATGATAGTGAAAGGGACCGGAAGGTAGAGCCTACTTCCAGGAGAGCAACTGTGGCCAGAAAAGAGCATTCCTCTGGATTAACAGAGTCCCCACAGGAGCAGCCTTGGGGGGATGTTTACACCCCACAGAAGGAGGCTCAAGGAAGGTTCTTCTTCCTGAACCTCCTGGATCCTTAAGTTCCCGGCTTTCCAGCCCCTTTCCCGCACTCTGGTCTTTTTCTCTTTCTTCCCCCTCCTGCTGTCATTAATCGGGGGTTGGTAGGCCGGCTAGATCACCATCTCCATTCACTCGCAATGCTCCGCCGCCACTGCGTACACATTCAAGAGCCTCTCAGGCCCCTGGGGCTGAAGTCCCAAAGGTCACGTGCCTCAGTACTGCTCCCACACCCTAAACTGCCATCCAGCCGCCGTTTTCTTCAGCCCCTGTTTTGCTTGGTGGGTGACCGGTGGAGACGTTGCCTTTTGGGGGAAGAACGTCCTAGGCAGGGCCGTTAGCTGGGTGACTCTGGTGCAGATTGCAGTTCCAGAGATCGCTCCATAAAGAAGTGCCATTGGGTAGCTGCTTCCCTCCACCGCCGCATCCCCTCGTCCCTGTCGCGACCTGCAGGCGGAGGGGAGGGCACCGAGCTGCTGGCCCTGGTGGGCAGAGTCAAGCGGAGGCGCCTCACCAGGCCCTGACGCCCTGCAGCGTGGCTGCCAGATGTCCCTGCGGGGTGGCACTCGGGCCACCGGATCCGAAGCCCGCGCTGGTCAGTGATGTGTGTGGCGCAGGACCCGAGGGCGCGCCCGCGTAGCAGCCACCGTAGCCTGCGCCGTAGGGTGCTCCGGTGTAGCCTCCGTAGCAGGAATAGGGCGACACCGCGGCGCCGTAGGGGCTGGGGAAGGCGGGAGCGCCCGGCCCGGGGCCCAGGCAGGGCTTGCCATCGCGCACCAGCACCGGCACCGCCACCCGGCGCGGCGCTAGAGGGTGGCCGGCCAGTTCCAGCGACTTGTCCTGGCGCTGTCTCTTGCACTTGTAGCGTCGGTTCTGGAACCAGATCTTGACCTGCGTGGACGTGAGCTGCAGCGCGCTGGCCAGGTGCTCGCGCTCGGGCGCCGATAGGTACCGCTGCTGCTTGAAGCGCCGCTCCAGGCCCAGCACCTGCGCCTGTGAGAAGAGCACGCGCGGCTTCCGCCGCTGCCGTGCCTTGGGTTGCTCCGAGCGGCCGCCCCGCACGCTGTCGCCGCTGTTGCCAACGCCACGCTCTGGCACCCTGGTCCCACCGCCGAGGGGCGAGGCCGCGCTCAGGCCGGGCTCTAAAAGCATAGGAAGGGACACATCAGCGCCCAGCCTAAGGCTCACCTGAGCAGTTCCTACTTAGTTTTCAAGACTCTCCTCTCCCTGGAAGGCTTCACCCTGCGCCCTCCTCCTCCCTCCTACTGCCCCCCAACCCTGTCCCAGGACTGTCTCAGTGTTCCTTCCCTCCAAGCTCTGCCACTTTTATATGGTACTGCTGGAAAGTAAATTGTGAAGCCCTACGGTCCCCGGTGTATGCGTCCTTTTCCAAAAGGTAAACTCTGGATAAAGAGTTAAGGCAGCCCCATTTGCTTCTTAGAATGTGTGTGCATGGTCCAGTTTGGTAAACATTCGCTGTGAGGAACAAGTGTGAGTAGGGGTGTCTATCAGATTGGGGAGATTTTGGACCCTCCTTGGAAGTACAGAAAGAAGGAGAAGAAGGAGGAAGGGGAAGAGGAGGAGGAAGAAGAGGAGGAGGAAAAGGATGAAGAGGAAGTAAGAAAAGAAAAACAGAGAGAAGGCTGGGTGACAAGAAGGTGCAGACTCGGTGACAGGCTCTCAGGAGGCTCCCATCTGCCTCATTTTCCTTTGCAGCCCCAAGCACACTGCATGAAACCCGGCTCCAAGTCTAGGAGCAGGAGCCTTGAGTGTCTCCGCCTTCACCCCACTTTTGCGCACACTCTTGTCTTTGTGATGAAGTACTCCACCAGCACCAGGGATGCATCCCAGCTTTCTTGGATGTGACGCTTTTAATCCAAATTAACAATATATGATGAAAACAAAATATTTCCTGGCTCCTGATTCTAGGCTCGGAAACTGAGGTTCTCTTTGAGAGATGCATAAAGTTGAGGTCCACATTTGGCTTCTTAAAAAGTAGCCTGTCCCTCCTTTGGGGTCTTTCTGGCAAGCAGGTGGTGTGGGCTTCACCCTGAAGTCCTCCTTTCACCCGGGGAGACCTCTACAGCTGAGACTGTGCCCACCAAGATGCAGCATTTTTCTCCCTTCTCACCTCTCTACTGTCTGGGTTTAAGCCGCGTTTGACCCTAACGGTGGATAAAAGGGAACGCTGAGTTTACATGGGATCTCATGCCAGGAGAAAACCAGGAGCATGGAGGGGATGCAAGTTCACAGCAAGAGGGGACAAGGACAGGCCTATTTAGAGCCAGTGCGATTGAAACTAGACTCCTAATACCCAAGGCACTGGCATGATCTCCTGGGGGATGGAGCTGTTTGGTATTTAAAGTTTGAGTCAAGAACGACTTCCTTCAGTGATGCCTGTGCTCAGATAAACTGAGGCCATCTCCCCTAGCAAAGAGGAAAAATCCTGAGGAAGGTTTGTTTTCTTAGCACAAGGAAAGGTAACAACTGGCCTTCAGCCAGGGTGCAGAGCAAGGAGGACCCCATCTCAAAGCCACAGACCACTCAGGCTGGGGCTGCACAGAAGTGCAGGACACACCAGCACTCTGCGCCCTCCTGGTCACAGTCCTGGAGTTCTTGAGGGCGAGGTGGGACGGTTGTGATGGAGGAGGGTGTGAAGCCCACCGAAGGTGCCTTCCCGATCCGGATTGCCCCGCGGCCCCGGGCTCAGTTCCTGGAGCCGGCCTCCGGTCCCTCCTCAGCAGTGTCCACGGCTGCAGCAGAAGAGACGCGCCCAGGATTTGGTTTCCAGGGGGAGGAAGAAGGCGCAGCAAATATCATGGGCTGCGAGGAGACTGCGGTGGTCGAAGGAACGTGATCCTTTGTCAGCAGAGCCGAAGTGATAACCTAGCTGGCTGCCCAACGCCAAGAGAATTTAAAATCCGCTGCAGAAAACCTATCAGCTTCTTGGCGAACACAGCAGATAATGTTGTCCGGCTTCTGGAGTTAGTGAATAACTGGCCTGCAAGCCAGTGAATAACTCCGATCTAGCGCCTTGATTTATTTCATTAGTTTGTGCCTTTAATGAAGGCGTCACGGCACAGTCTGGCAGAGGAGGCCTGTCCTGCGGGGCGCTACCTGGGGCCCCGGCGTTGAGAAGGCCGAGCGAGGTGCTGAGGTTTGGAGAGAGGAAGGCGGCGTTTTCATCCCTCCAACTGTCTGGCCTCTGCAGCCAAAGCCTTCCGGATCGACGCAACACAGCTCCCCGCCAGCCCCTTCCCTACCAGCTGCTGGACACAGGTGCGTGGGCCTCGCCGCATTGTGGTGTGTGGTTGCGCCTTCGGATTCAGGCGATGAGACTCGACCAGAGACGTGTCCCAGGGCAGAGGAAACCCTGGCGGCCTTTAACATTCTCCCTGACGCGGAGAACCCTGCGCCAACAGGGCCTTCCACTTGGGAAGAATTGAATGCTATCCGCTCCCCAGCTTCCGTCTTCCAGACGAAAAATCCATGAGGAGGCATGGGGGGCCCTGGCCAGGCCCGCAAGAAAGGGCCCAGTTAGTAGTGGCCTCGGAGCCACGAGGGTTCCACTGTTTTGATGGCCACATTCTTTTGCAAACGGTTTGAGGGTAGAGAGATACCAGGGTGATGACAGGGAAGCACCGTGGTGACTGGCACGGCTAAGACTCGGCGGAGGGTTTCGCTGTGGAGGTGAGAAGGTGGAGGTTCTGGGCACTGTGACTGCGAGTGGGAGCGATGCGTTTGTGGGAATCAGAGGAGCGGATTTCGGAAAAGTGAATCCTTAAGATTCAGGGCCTTAATTTCGTCAGGGGCATGTGAAGCACACTGGTTATCAGGAGAGGGTGGGAATGGGGTTCAGAGGCCTTTTTCTTGAACTCCTCAAGTGAGAGAAAATGGCGAGAGAGTCTCAAACCCAGGAGATAGAAGGCGCATTTTCCCCACGCAACCGTGGATCACCCCCCAACCCCACCTACCCATATTCCCCCTGTAGGACACAAGACCTGAGTGCTTACTCACGTGGCTCCCCAATCCGTTCCCCGTCCATCTCCAAGACTGCCTCACAGGGACTCCCAAGAGGCCCCGATCCGTCCTGCCTTCTGTCACCTACGCTGCCACCAGCGTTGTGAACCTCTGACCCTCGCGGCTCCGGGTCCATTCTCAGGTACTGAAGGTTTTCCGGGCTCTTCCGCACCCCCGGGTGTGGAGAAGCCGCGGGGCTGCGCTGCTCTTGCTCCAGCCGCAGGATGTCTTTGACCGAGAAGGGGGTGGAGGTGACCCGGCTCAGCAGCATCCCGAAGGCGGGTGGGGCGGGGCCGAGGAGTGCCTGGTCCTGGTGAGGCGCGGCACCACGAGTTTCCCGTCCTGTCGCTGCAGGCTCCGCAGACAAACCCAAGCCCTGGGACAGACGCCCAGCTTCCCAGACCGCGCCTTCCTCTGGGCCATCCCGGCGGGCCCGGGTCCAGGGCCGGGTGACAAGACGGTAGCCCCCCATTGGTTCTCGCAGAAACCACGTGCTAACTCTGCACCTTCCTACCCCAGCGCCTTCTTCCCGCGCCCGTCTAATCCTCTCCAGTCCTCAGTCGCCCTCCTGGGAGGTTTGATTCTTACTGACGGTTCTCAAAAGCTAAGAAAACGTGGAGAGACAGTGCTGCGCGCGACTCGGATCTTCGTCAATATGGTACTAGCGGGTGCATCTGAGGTCAACCTCGGGTCCACGGGGACCCTCCTGGTGGACGTGCGGGGATAGTGGGTGGAGTCCTTTCTGTGCAACCCGATCCGGTCCATCCAGCTTGGTCTTAGCTCAACTCTGCATTCTTATGGCAGAGGAAAGCTAAGACAGAGACAGCTGAGGGCCCGCGGGATTTAAGATGCTCACTGGGATCTTACGAGCGCAGAGGCCGGACCGCCTATATTGAGGTGGAAGCCCCTCTTCGAACCGAGTCCCGGTCTGCAGAGTCTCGACCCGCCACTTCCCAGGAGCAGCGTCTCAGCCCCGAGATCGAGGAATGGGTGTAGGGGCTACATCTAGGGAGCCCTCGGCCTTTTAGAGGGCTTCGAGAATGGTGAGGGAGAAGGGAAGGCCATCGCTGCGGCCCGTGCAAAGTGGTCAGAGGGGGTCTACTGTCGCCCTTGGCGTCCCCACGTTCCTTCTCTTCCTCACCTGTATCTCCTTAAAGCGGATTGCCTGGAGCGTGCCAGCGTGTGTGCGTGTCAGCGTGTGTGCGTGTATAAACGCGGCGCCCGCCGGAGGGCTGGGAAGATTTGATTGGCACTAAATCTCCTGAAAAGGCCCTCGGATACAGTGGGCACCGAGTGAATGGGGCAGTGTGGTACAATGGTTACCAACGCGGATATAGCACCAACAGATCCAGCCCCTGCTGTTACTACTCAGGGGGCCTGGATCAAGGAAACATGATTTGGTGTCAGCAGAGTCGAAGGAGGCTTAAAAACTGTGTTTTAATCACAGTGAGATCTCTTTAGAGTTCTTTTGGGGATTTCAGATCCATTTTTTTTTCTTTTTCCTTCTTTCCTTCCTTCCTTCCTTCCATCTCCTCCTCCCCCTCCTCCTCCCCCTCCTCCTCCTTCTTCTTTTGAGACAGGGTCTGCCTCTGTTTCCCAGGCAGCAGTGCAGTGCCCAGATCATGGCTGCAGTCTCTGCCCGGGCTCACTGATCCTCCGACCTCAGCCTCCTGAGTAGGTGGGACCACAGATGCCACTAAACCTGGCCATTTATTTATTGTAGAGATGGGGTTTAACCATGTTGCTTAAGCTGGTCTTGAACTCCTGAGCTCAAGCAATGTGCCCATCTCCCCACCTCGGCCTCCCAAAGTGCTGGGATTACAGGTGTGAGCCATCTCACAGGCCTCAAATGCTTCTTAAACCTTCTTATGTGAATTCAATGTTACAATAGCTGTTTGGATATTATTATCTCCTGAAATCCAGATAAACCCAACTCATCTCCGCAGGCTAATGGGTGCAAAATTGCTTACAAAGATTTATGCAAAATCTCAGCAAATCTCATTGTTCGGCTACCAACTAATGATTTCTTATGCATGGTAACATTTAATCTTTACATCAAAGCAATACCCAAATATTTTCAGCGTTCTTTCTCTCTCTCTCTGTCTCTCTCTTTCTCTTTCTCTCTTTCTTTCTCATCAGATCAGAGAGGTGACCCAGATCGTTTACCGAATTGCAGGACCAGACTAGCCTGTAAACCAAGACAATAAACCTTTTCTTTCTTTCTTTTTGAAATAGACATCCTTTGCTCTTAGAGATCTCAAAATCTTGTGATGACCCATACATTTATTTGGATTTTATTTTTCTGATAAAAGTAATCATGGGCACCTTGGAAAAAGTGAAGAAAAGTTAAAGGAAAATATCCATCCAGGGATAACATTTTCGTGCACCTTCTTCTCTTTATTTTTGCATATATGAGCTCATAGTGTATATGTGAGTTTGTATATATTTAAATTTACATCATAATCATGTCTAGTTCATATTTAGAATTTTTAAAACAAATATAATTGAAAATAGCAATCTAATATTTTATGTTATGGATAGACCATAATAGACTGTTTTTATATTTTAGATATTATCTTTTTTTCACATCACTGTAAATAAGGCTTTATTCTTGTACCTTTAATTTTCATCCTTGTCAATATTTTCTATTATTTTCTCAGGACACCTGTAGAAGAAGCATCAATGAGTCAAATATTTTAATGCTCATAAGACATGCCATTCCAGGGCTTCCTAGAAAAGCAATATTATTGTACCTTTACCCCGGCGGTGCAGGGGAGTACCTGGTTGATGAGTATTTACAGTCACCACTGGACACCCACGAGAGACCCTGAACTTAGAGCATTTCCGCGGTACGAGCTCCACCCTGTCCCTCCAGGGGATACTGGCAGCTTGCTGGTTCTCCCCTTCCAAGTGCTGCAGGCAGGAAGTAGGGCGACCCGGGGTAGAAAAAAACCTAACGGTACAAACTGCCAGTACTTTATCACCTGGTGGAATTCTCCCTGCGGACAGTCGCACTTTACCTATATCGTAGAAGAAAGGACATCTTGAGGGGGCCTTGGCGTCGGAAGCCTTGAGTTCAAATCCTAGACTTAGGTCCCCAGCCGTGCCCTTGCTGGCTAGCTGCTACGATCAAATGAGACTTTTTGAGGTGGAAATGCTTTTGAACCCTCTCGAGCGGTGGAAACGCCTCGCTTGGACCAGAGTCCAGGTCTGCGGAGCAGTGACCGGCCGCTTTCCAAGAGCAGGGTTGCCAGCGGAGCGAGTCCTTGTTATGGAAAGGGCTGTTTCAGGGGTCCCTGTCGTGCTCCCACCCCTGCAGGGAGCAAGGCCGTCCTTCCGCGCCACAGGTCCGGAATTTGCAGTGCCCTGCGTTCTGGTTTCAGCTCCCGGAGCTCTTCGCTCGCTTGGGTCTCGCCCTGTCAGGGTCACCTCTCGGAGGGGTCTGGCGTCCCTCCTCCCTCCTCCCTTCAGCGCCGGGAGCACTCAGAAGCACCCCCTCGCCCGCGGACAGCGCAGCAGGTACCTCGAATCTCCCGGTCAATTGTAGGCGCATTAGCGGGTGCCTCGCAGCACAACAGAGGCTCCAGCGAAGGGTCATTTGCCTAAGTGCTTGGGGCCCAGGAGAGCCTGGAAGAAACTAGGAGGGACTGCGAGAGCAGAAAAGCCGGGAAGTACAGAGACTTTCAGGCAGGATTCCGTGCAGCCCCAACAGCGTGGTGCGGGGAGGAGTGTGTGTGTGTGTGTGTGTCTGCGTGTGTGTGTGTGTGCGCGCGCGCGTGTGTGTCCCTTGCTCGGGAATGGAGACATCGTGGTCACCTCTGTTCTTAAGTCAGATGGAGACGGTCGTGCTAGGGGTGTGATTGATCCGCTTTGCTTCACTCTGGTCCACAGAGTGTTTTAAGCTCTTACCACGTGCCAGCTCTGCCCAAGCCCTGGTGATACTGAGAAAATGAGGGGTCTCAGCCCTCTATCTGAACTTGCATTCCTGCATAGAAGACAGATTTTAAATGATTCCCACGCAGCTTGTTTCCTTGCACAATCAGACGGAATTTGCACACTATATTCATTGAACCTTTTTGTATCCATGGTTAACGAAAGTCCTTATTTCCTGTTTCTTTCACTCTCCTAAAACGAAGGGATTCCCTCCTCACCTCCTACTCATGACTGTTAGCATAGGGCTTCATAATCTTATGCTTCAGAGTGCATAATAATTTTAAAGTAAATCCTCTTAAAATGACTCAGTAAATTTTCTCATTTTTTAAAAAATGATGGCTTTGGCTTCGTCATCTTTATTTACAGATAAAGAACACAGAGATTACATATGGCCCAAGATCACACAGCTGTGGAATAGCAGAGGAAAATCAGAATCCAGGTTTTCTCACCCAGTCCTGGGGCCACTGCTCTGCACTTCTGTGGACCTGCTCCCACTTCAGTTCCCTCTAGAGTAGAAATGACGAGTTGAAAAATAACTGGGAATGACTTGGCAAACAGACCTAGATTATTTCCTGTATAGTTTCTTTTTTTAAAAAATGTGTATTTGCGTCTCATCTCACTGGTTTTCAAAATAACTCAAAATACAGCCAATAGTATAAAGCAGTTATGACTTCTAGTTTATAAATGAGAAAGCCAAGAGAAAGGAAGGTTAAGAAATTTGAGGCCACATCTCTCTCATGATTTCCCATACGGTGTTGTTTCACAGACTAAGATGAATGCATTTATTTGGTAATCACCTTTTATGTTTCCCCCTAACTGTTTGCTCAGTACATGTTAGTACACTTACCCCATAGAAAAATATGCTCAATATTTTAAAATGTCAGCAAAACTATTATTTCATTATGTTCTGAATTATTCTATTCAATTCAGAAGATATTTTCTGAGAGTGCCTATTACATGGAAAAGGTCATCATAGAATCTGTCATACAAACTGGGACACTTTTTTTTAGAGACAGTGTTGCTATGTTGACTAGGCTGATCTGGAACTCCTGGCCTCAAGTGATCTTCCCACTGTGGTCCCCCAAAGTGTTGGGATTACAGGCATAAGCCGCTGCACCTGGCCTAACTGGGGAAGAGGAAAGTCCTTTAACACTAACTAGATGGTATGCCAAGTATAGACTGGCCACAACTGTCCTGGGTAAACCAGGATATATGGTCCCTCCATCTACAAGGCACTCAGCACACAAAGATAAATAGCACACACTTCAGGACCCTCCAGGAGTATTCAGTCTAGTCAGGGGACTGAATAAGCTTTTATTGTAGAATGTCACCAGGCCA